TTAAAAAAATGTGGTATGTATACACCATGGAATACTATGCAGCCATAAAAAAGAACAAAATCATGAATTTCGCAGCAACCTCGATGGAACCAGAGTCTATAATACTGAGTGACCTCTCACAGAAACAAAGATCTGAGTATCACATGTTCTCACTCATATAGTGAACCTTGATCATCCAACGCACTACCATAAGAAAATGACTGACAGTGGTGGGAAATTGGGGGCGGGGGGGAAGGGGGATGGGATTAATGGTAGTAAACATCTGTCTGGGAATGGTGAGACACCTGTTATCAACAAGGGGGCCTGAATGAAGCTTATTTGTATACCTAACCCTTAACTGTACCCCACAATATCATAATAAAAAACATTGATTTTTTTTTTTAAAAAAAAGAGTGAGTAAAAGAATAGTGTGACCAGAAATTTTCACATAAAACTGTGGGAGATATGCCAGAACATGATTCTCTTCTTTTCCACTGCTGCTAAATAATACAAAACGTTATATGGTTCATGTAGAATAAAATTGGGAATTTTTTATTATTTTCCAATTGAACATACAGATGGACCCTTGATGTTCACATTAGCTACAGCCCTAAAACAAATGGTTCTTATACTTTCCCCCACAATATGTATTTATGGCATGGACAAAACACAACTAAGATGAGGATAGTGAGTGATGGACTAGGCTCATTCACCAGGACACTATTGTCTTGGATGTTGGCAATGCCTCAGAAAAACTGTAAGTCACCCACATAATGAACATCTCCAGGGGTCCTCTGAAATACATGATCCCTTAAATGTTAAACTGTGAAACATAAGTGATGTGTTTAACTTCATAACATGCATACCCGCAATGTTGTGCCTGAATATACATTTTTTAATGAAACCAATTTTATAAAGAAATTCAGTTAAGTAAGTGTTAAAACATGTTGCCATCCTGACTCTGTTTATTGAAAATTTATTATAGAAAACAAGCTTATTTTATGTTTTTAGATCCAATCACATTGTTTTTACTCTGGTTCACATTTTCATATGTTACTTATATATTTTTCTTTGATAGTGCTATTTTTTCAATTATATTTTTATATGACTTTGTATTAGTTTCCTAAAATGTTTACATTTTTACATTTGTTTTTACTAAAGAAGCTCCACAGTTATTTTTATAAGATAAATTTCCTGATTCAAACCTAAAAACACACATGATAAGGAATTTTTATTTCCATTTTGGAAAATAATATAGGCTGCATATTAACTCAGACATGTTTCAGGTTTAAATAACTACATATCATCAACCTTATCACCAAACAATCACTTAAGTCAATATCTATCATAAAGTATTATGATCAACAGCAATCATTATGAGTTAAGATATCAGGGTTAGAAGATTATCATCTGTGCTGTATTTTCTCAGTATTTTGTTATGAGTATTTTTATTCTCTGTATATGTGACCTCTTAGAAATAGAAAAAAAGTGGTATAAATTCTGCTCACATTGTTAATGCCTGGTTGTTATGTAACAAAAAAATTGTCTGGTCTTTGTCCCAGATATCTAGGTGGTAAACTCTAAATCCTTGGAATTTTCCAAATGACAGCAGTATCTTTGTTATTCATGGGAGCTTCTCTTACCCCACTGAGTTTATCGTGACTGTGATCATGTTATGTTTATGAGGACTCAGGGTGGGAATCTAGCATACTGGAAAGATCAACCATGTGATTACAAGGTTGAGGTTTTGAGCCAGGTGGTATCAATCCAACCACCCATCCTCCGGGAGGGAAAGAGGGCTGGAGACGAAATTCAACACAGTACCAATAATTCAATCAATCTTGCCTATGTAGAAAAACCCAATGAGAACTATGGAGTCGATGCTCAAGTGAGCTTCTTGGTTCATGTTACACATCAAGGTACCTGGAAGGTTCTGAGAACACAGAAAATTTGTGTTTGTGACCTTCCCAAAAGTCTACCTTTGAGTCTTTTCATTTGGCTGGTCCTCATTTTTATCCTTTATAACACAACTGTAATCATAAGTGTATTGCTATCTCACATTCTGTGAGGTATTTTATCAAAAACTGAGGGGACCATGGAGCCCCCAGATTTGCAGCCAGTTGGTCAGAGTGCAGGTTACCTGGGACCCCAGAGCTGACAACTGGTGTCTGAGGTAAGCCTATTGGGCAAGCATGACTTCAACCTGTGGCATCCATGTTGGTTCTGGGTAACTTAAGCCAGAATTGCATTGCAGTAGTATTTACGTCAAGTATATCTTTTATAATTTTTGTCCTGGCTAACTCCAAAACCCAAAATTAGTAAAAAGGAGATTGTCGTTGTCCTTGGTATTCTTCATCATTTATATGTAGGCAATGTAATTTCTTGTTTGTTATTATTAAGTCATTTTCCTGTTGACTTTGGTCAATCATGCAACTGTCTCATTTTTGCCATCTTCTGATCTCTGTTGGTATTGTTTACATTTGTGTGTAAATGTGTTCAGTCACAGATTTATGCTGAGACGATTAGGTTAAAAAATTTACTTCAATGTGAAACTCTTTCTTTTGAAAAATTAGCCTACTCCTAATACTAATTAGGACACATAAAATCACACATCAGTAGCTAAGTTCACTTATGATAGATACTCAAGGGCAGACTTAATAAAAGGTTGTTGTAAATCAGTGGATAAATACAGATATGTGTGAATGACAATATTTGACCTTCAGATAAAATGTGGAAAAAACACATACTTTGTAAGCAGGTTACACCAGTTTAGTTGGTAAAATGCTAGGAATTGTGCATGGCACACAGAAATTGATATATATGCTCAAGGAAAATTAAATGTCCAGAAAATAAAAGAACTCACTGCTTAAAAATGAGCAACAAAATTCCAAATCTGAGGAGAGTGAGAGAAACATCAGCACAGAATTATATGGATTCTATGGCCTGGAGCAGTACTTTTTCTCTCTGATTTGTCAGGTTGTATTTTACTAATCTGTTAAGATACTTTTATTTTTCTCAACTAGCCTTTTTTTCCCTCCCAAATCTTGGAAAAACACTACTTTTTGCCCTCCTATAACACCCAGCACAACCTGTAATTCCACTTAGGTTCTAGACACAATTAGATTAAACTCTGAGACCTACATATAGATTTTAAATTGTGGTGGTTTTGATAATGAAAACCTCATCTTTTATTCCTATCAATAAGCACAGTGCTTGATATATAGTACATACTTTAAGAAATTGCAGGTTAAACTGGACTATTACAAGAGATACCTGTTCAGGGAAGCAAGAAGGGTTTTCTTATGGAAATGTACCTTGAGATCAAGTCTGAAGAACTGTAGCAGCCTATTTGAAATAAAAGTTCTAAAAGATATCAATAGTACAAAAGTAGACAAAGAGAGAACATGAGTGATACATGATAATAAAATGTTAGTGGGCATTAAATTGCCCAACAGCTTAAATGGCCATGTCCATGTAAAAATATGTTTTGATTTGCTGCCATCCAGAGACGAGATCCCAGAATCATTTAAACTGATAAAATCAAAGTTGTTGACTCAGTGCGATGGCACACACTTATAATCCCAGCACTTTGGGAGGCTGAGGCAGGAGAAGCACTTGATGCCAGGAGTTTAAGGTCAGCCTGGGCAATAAAGTGTAATTCCATTTCAACAACAACAACAACAACAAAAGTGCCTGTATCCCAGTTACTTGAGAGGGTGAGACAGAAAAATCAGTTGAGCCCAGGAGTTTGAGGATGCAATGAGCTAATGATTGCACCATTGCACTCCAGCCTAGAGAAAAAGTGAGGCTCTGTCTCTAAAAACATAAAATAAAATAAAATTGTGGCAGACATTGTGAAAGACCTATACACTATCCATTATCTTTTTATTTTTCTTAACCTGCTGAGGAAGAATAGAGTGGAGATGGTTAGGGAAGGAATGTGTGATGATTTAAAAAAACAATTCAAGCCTCCCTCTGCAGTAGAAATAAGTACGTGACAGAATTCAGGCCAAGGAATGGAAGGAGTAATCTACTGCAGGTGAGGGGAGACTCACAGAACATTATTATTTGTTCTGTGTCATCTTGGATAATACTATAATGTCTAAATTATTGTCCCTAGTTTGTAAAACAATGACAACAACCAAACATATTTTATAGTGTTACCTTCAGTATAAAATTAAACCTACATGTAAACACACATGTATAGCTTGGCACTAGAGGGGCTCAGGAATTGTGAACGATTGCGATAATGATGACCAGGGTGATGATGGTGATGGGTGATCATTGCTCTTCTGTTTGTGAACTTTGCTGTGCTCATGCTGTATAGAGTGGAAGGGAGAGGTGGTGTCATGGGACTGGAAGCAGGATTGCCTAAGGGACAAACAAAACTATAACAGAGGTCTGAATAATGTCATTGAGTAAGGGCAAGGAAGGACTTGTGAAGCATTTTGAAAGAATCTTTAGAGCAGATGCGTTTGTGAAAGTTGGAGGTGCAAGAAAGAGCAAGGGAGCACAGAAATGCAGTTGACTTCAATTTCAGTTCTCTGTATGAGGAGGGAGATATTTGGTGTGAAGGGTTAAGTTTTTTCCAACCGCTATGTCACAAAGCTGCAGATCTTCGGCCTCACTGACGCCCATGTGCACAGAGTAATTTTTCCAGGTTTCTCAGCTTTAGGTTGCTGGTTTTCAGGGGCTGAAAGTCATTCCCTCATCCCTGCCTCAGCCCCACCACTCTTGATCGTTGCTACTTCTGCTACCCGTGAGCAGCCTAAGAACCGCCCACATAAAGAAGCTGGGCCACACTCAGGCCAGCCCTCAGGCTCACAGGGAACAAAGCTTTCTTTTTCTCACCTGCTTCTTGGTAGTCTTGCCCCAAGACCTTAAGTACCAGAGACCACGATGGAGACAGAAGAGTTCTGTAGGAATATGTCTGTGTTGAGTGTGTGCCGCTTTTTGTTTTGTCTTCTTCGTGCATGGAGAATCTATTTCACAACAGAGGTGAGGGAATGGCACCATCTTACCTGAGAAGCTTCCCAGTCGAGGCGCGGTCACGTCCCCGCCGTCATAGATCTCCAAGGAGTCCCAGTTCTGCTCCGTGGCAAAGCTGATCACCTGGATCTACCAAACCACAACATTAAGTTAACATTCATTCTCAGCTTAACAAAATTAGTCTAATCAGAAAAGGTTTTTCATGATTGAGATATCTATATTTATATAGTTATATAGATCTAAGTATCTCTATATCTATATGGCAAAATTTTAAAAATAAAAGAACAATTTCTACAAATGTCACTTTTAATAATTTGTATTCTAAAAATTGATTATTTTTATTCCAGATATAGAAACATGATTAGAAACATTTCGTAGAAATAGTAAGAAAAGTAAACATTATTTTCCATGTATTTAAAATAACCAGTAAAAAAAAAGAAAGTCAAAGAAAGAGACAGAATGAGAGAGAGATAGATATGGTGAGAATGAAAAAAGGAAGGGAGGAAACAAGGAAGAATTGAGGGAGAGGAGGAGAGAGAAAGAGAAAGAGAGAAGAGTAAAGACGGAAGGAAGGAAGGAAGGAAAGAAGGAAGAGAGGAAGGAGAGAGGGGTAGAGGGAGGGAGGGAAAAAGGATGGAGGGAGGGAGAAAAAAAGAGAAGAAAGGAGGGAAGGAAGGAAGGAAGAAAAGGGATAGTAGGGAGGGAGGGAAGGAAAGCAGAAGGAGAGAGGGAGGGAAGGAGGGGTAAGAAGGATGGAAGGAAGGAAAGAAACAAGGAAGGAGAGAAGACAGGAGGGGGGAAAGAAGGAAGGAAAAAGGAAAGGAAGGAAGGAAAGCAGAAGGAGACAGGAAGGGAGAGAATGAGGAAGGAAGGAAGGAAGGAAGGAAAAAGGAAGGAGAGAAGAAAGGAGGGAGAGAGAGGGAAAGAAGGAGGGAGGGGAGGGTGGGAGGGAGGGTGGAACAAGGAAGGAAAGAAGGAAGGAAGGAAGGAACGAACAGACAAATGAAGGAGCAGAGGAAGGCAGCAAGCTGACAGACCCCAGCTTGGCCCTGATTATAGACTCTGGGCTTCAAGGACTCACCTGAATTCCTGATCCTTCTGTAACTATGATCTTCCATATACAGTTTAAGTTGTTTCCATATGGCTCAGGGTAGCCAGGGGACAGAATTGTACCTCTCCGCTGAGTGAAATTGCCACTGCAGGGGACTAAAAGACAGAACTGTATTTAATGAAAACAAAATGTAATAAAGACAACATTAATCTGGCATTTCCTTTTCTTGCATGATCAGAGAGTAAGAAAAACTTTATATGTACTACAATGCTTTAAATGGAATTTTTAGCCAAGGTAACATTTACTCCATTCTCTTTAAAACTAGCATTATCATTGATTACTATCCATTATGCTACTAAGCTATGGATATCGAGTCTAGAAATAAATTTACTCAAGTTCTCTAAGAAGAGACTGTGCCTAACAATGGCATCCCTGGGGTCAATGATGTTTACAATAATTTATCTACTTTAACTTGAGGAACTTTTCAGAGCATTCTCTTCTCTGTGCAAACATACAACTCCAGATGACATTAATGGCATTTATGAACAAGTTCAGGGAGAAAGAGAGATGCTTAAAATGTACAGATGAAGTCAAGAGCTAATCATGATTGCACTGGAGTTTTCTACACAAAATGAAACAAACTATAAACAGCAGTGTTGTTATTCAGGCTGCCTTATTACTTTTTACTCATCACCACCAATTTATTAAAAAGACATTACACAAGTAGTATAGCAAATCAACATTGTAATGATTTTTCCCACAAAATGAAACCACGTTGTATCTCCACAACTTTAGAGTTGATGGCATACTTAATAAATACTGAAAAGGAAAACATGCTTTATCCTTGTTAATCTGACGAGTTGTTTTATGAAACAATAATTTTTCAGGTTTGGCTGCCACTCAATCATTTCTGATAAAAACAAATTGCTCTTCAAATGTGTCAGGCACGTGATGGATCTTCAGCACCATGGTGTCCTGTGGATGGTCGCACCAGTGGATGCTGCTTACCCACACAGCTGGGAATTGTGTCATTCCACTGAGCTAAAGCGTTGGGCACTGACTGGCAGCGCAACGCCGTGGATCCCTGCAGCAGGTACCCCGGGTTGCACTCAAATCGCACGATCGAGCCCGCAGAAAACTCAGAACCAATTCTCCTTCCGTATCTGGGCTCCGGGACAGAGCTGCACTGAGTGTCGCTGGTGCGAGGAACAGCTAGAGGCAAAACATAGAACACAGCCATCTGTATCTTCAGAGGAAGCCAGAACATCGTCTTGAAAACTGATTTAACAAGAGTCTAAACAGAGTTGATGCAGATATAGAAATTAATAACGCCTCTAACAACCTCTGTAGGGAATAATGTGGGGAGCACTTTCCCTCCCTTCTACACTTTGTTCTCTTAGCAACCTCAGGACTTCAGCATTCTCATTTCAGACTAGGAAAATGGGACATGAAAAGAATTCATGAGAATTGACTGACATTTAGGCAGTCAAAATTAACTAGGTACTCAAATCATTATAGTAGTGATTATGAGATGACTAAGAATGGATTTTCTCTTTCTGAGACTCCAAGTTTCTCCATGGTGTGTGGTCTTCACTGATGCAGAAATAAAAACCCAAAGTTTTTGATGGCGGGTGTGTCTATGGTCTTTGGGTGGTGGGTATTGACAGGAGTCTCAGTGCCATGTGGGAGAAAGATAACTCCTCAGGTTATATGTCAGAAACCACCACTTCTAAGGATGTTCCTTTTTATCAAAAAGGGGCATGAGATAAAGTATGAAAAATAGTTTAATTGGCAAGAAACCTGTAGTCCCACGTACACTTTTTGAATATAGTTATGTACTGTGAAATCAGTATATTTAGTTTTTGTCCTTTGCAGTTAAAAAGCTATATGTATACACTGTCTCTGGAATTCATTCTTCTTGGTCCTTGTATTTTTTCATACCAAAGTCCAGTCTTTGAGAGAAGGGCTTATGTACTCATTTTCTGTAAAAATAATCCTTCCATTCTCATCCTGCTTTTAAAAACACATGGGTATCACTTTTTTAGCTCAAGCTGAATATTGACAGACCCTGTTTGGGTACCTGCTACCTCAAAAACAATTCTATAAAAATGGAAGTTAGATTATTTTGATTAAACTATGTTTCAATTCAATGCTGAAATTTTTTTTAGAAAGCAAAAGTAAATAAAGTTGTATATCATCTAACAGCCATAGTTAATGATATATCGGAATTCATCTTTTCCATAACTAAAAGCAAAATATAGAATAATTATAATATCTTATTACAGGTTGAGCATTCCTTATCCGAAATGCTTGGTGTTTCGGATTTTGAATTTCCAGATTTTAAAGTATTTGCATATACATAATGAGATGTCTTCGGCATGAGACACAAGTCTAAAACCAAATGTATTTATGTTTAATATATACCTTGCACATAAGCTGATGGTAATTTTATAAATATTTTTTAGAAATTTTGTGCATGAAACAAAGTTCTGACTGCATCTTGACTGTGACCCATCACGTGAGATCAGATGGGGATTTTCCATCTGTGAAATCATGTCAACACTAAAAAAGTTTCTGATTTGGGAGCATTTCAGATTTCAGACATTCAAATTAGGAGTGCTCAACCTGTACATAAAATACTGTTTAATTATATTTGCCATTGTGATGTTGTGACAAGATAATGGTTTTGTCCATGGCTCCTGGTGTATAACTTTCCTTCTTACATATCATATTGTAATATTGGGTGTGGCAGGCCTCAGGGAAGCCTCAAGAACAGAATGTCTCCTTCTGCCTGCCTTTCACCTGCCCCAAGGCAAGATTTTGATCTTCCCCCAACTTCTGATTGAACTGTGGGTCTCAAGACTCTCTCCAGAGAGGGTCCCCCTCTGTACTCTGGGGGAAGGAGTGCTAATATCATGAAGTATCCACTAAAACCCAAGAGGACTGGGTTCGGGGAGCTTCCAGAGAGCTGAACAGGTGAAGGTTCCTGAATAGGGGTCATGAGAGCTCTGTGTACCTTTTCTCATGCTTCGCCCTAAACAAGTCTTCATCTGTATCCTTTGCAATATCCTTTATAACAAACCAGTAAACATAAGTGTTTCTCTGAATTCTGTGAGGTGCTTCAATAAATTAATCAAACCCAAAGAGGGGGACATGGGAACCCAAACTTGAAGTCAGTCTATTGACTGACAGGGGGCAGACTGTGGGACTGAGCCCTTGGCCTGTGGACTCTGAGTCTATCTCCAGGCAGATGGTGTTGAAGTTGAATTAGAGGGGCCATAGCTAGGCGGTGGTGAGAAACTCCTATATTTGGTCATAAAAGTCTTCTTCTGCACTGATCATAGTGGTGTGAGAGCAGAGGAAAAATACAATTTGAGAGTTTTTTTTCCCAAAGCAGAAATACTTGTGTGCCTGACTATTTTGTTACAGTTGAACAGTGGTATAAAGGGAAAAAAAATGCTTCATAGAGGATTGCACAATTATCTCAAGACTTTTATTTACAAAGTTGATGAAATATTGCCAATGATAATGTTTCCATTTATGCTAGATTACCCGGAAATTACCCCCTATCTGTGACAAAGTTTCCACTTATCTAAGAGGCAAGTGTAACATCTCCTGTTCGCAAATTTCCAGGGTGTTTTCATTGTTCCAGGTTCTCAAATGTGAGGAGAAATACAGAATCAAGGGTCGTTTGTACACCATCCACTATTAACTCTTTCCTCATGAACTTATAGTTGCCTATTTTCAAGGATGACAGCAATATATAAATTGCATCTGCATCTGGATAAAATTATGGAAAACATTTTTTAGAGGAAAAAGTTTGGGCAGTGAAGTGACCAATTTCAAGTATCTGAGAAAGTAGGACAGAGAAAAGCTATGACATTGAGACATCAACCTCCATGTAATATCTGGTGGGGGTGGGGGTTGGAAATCAAACAATGTTCTGCAACTTCTTGGTCTCAGCCAGCCCTCAGGTTGCAGCCCTTCACCTGGACATTTCAGACGGCACCAGAGAGAAATGCTATTCTCTATCGTAATTATTCTCTGTCTCTAGTAAATGCTTCACACTGCTGTGAAACAGAATTGAAATCAGCTCAGTGGAAGAGTGAGCAGGGAATAAGGCCTGGAATACAGGGTGATCAACAAAATGATTGATTTCTCAGGCCAGACAACCATGTTGCTGCAGAGACTAGATGCCCTTCTCTGAGACTTTTATAAGATAGAAAGCAGGCAGCGCCGTGGATGTGTGTGCACCCTCCTAAGGAAAAGCCAGAGACATAATGTGATAGTTTTGTTAATCACCCTTCACCTCCATGCATGTTCTAAAACACAGGTATATGCAGCCCATTCTTTTTCTGCACCTCTGATAGAATGGATGTGGTAAAAACACCACCACCACCACCACCACCAACAACAACAACAACAACAACAAAAATAAATCTGCATGTAAGTATAGCTTGCAATATCTAAGTGAGGCAGTTTTCTGTTTCACTTAGTGACTGAGGTACATTTCCTATTGCAAAAGCATTCCCCTCTCATAGTTGAAATATCTGATTTGACAAGCTGTTACTAGTCAACGAATTCAAACATATATTGCTGAATTGCAAACACAATTTTATGTTCAATCTTCTTCATAAAAAGTATACATTTTATAATCTCTTGATACAAAATGTGAGTTCTCAGAAGTGAAAACCAGCTTATAAAAATATAATTCATGTCATCTAAAAGGAGAGGGAGCCTGGGGAAAATAAATAACAATAACAAAAAAAGTATGTTTGTACGCCTAGGAAGAACTTCAAAGACACTCTCAAGGTGCATTTTTCCTACTCAAACTTAGGAAAAGTATGACCATGTATTCAGCTCTGTTTATTTTTAGGAGGCCACCCAATTAGCTACATTAACATGAATGCTAAGGAAATAAATTCTTGGGAGCAGGAAGACCCTTGAAGAGAAATGCCAGAGCTGGTGAGTCTGGGAGGCTGGGTGCCTGGGAGGCAGTCACTGTCACAGGTGTGACTGGGAGAGGAGAAGCTAAGTTAGAAGTGAGCTTGGAAAGACAGAGACATGGCCAGTTGACAAGTATAAGCTGTGTACAGAGAAGGAAGTATGATATCAAAACATGACCTCCTTTTCCCTTTAATTATATAGTAAATCCTTACTACTGATTAATTTTTGATCTGTGCTATTTTGAGGGAACTGGAAGCAGTATCAGATTCTACACTAAAACTCACATGAAGACCAAGTATGGTTGCTCACACCTGTAATCCCAGCACTTTGGGAAACCAAGGTAGCAGGATTGCTTGAGTCCAGGAGTTTGAGACCAGCCTGAGCAACACAGCAAGACCTGGTCTCTACAAAAAATTGCCAGGTGTTGTGGTAAGTGCCTGTAGTCCTAGCTACTCCAGAAACTGAGGTGGAAGGATCGTAAGAGGATGAGGCTGCAGTGAGCTGTGATTGTGCCAGTGCACTCTAGCCTGGGTGACAGAATAAGACCCTACTTCACAAAAAAGAAAAAGAGACACACAAGAAAAATAGACTATTTGTAGGAACAGCCAGGCATAAATACAAGACCTTTAAAAATAGCAGTATGTTGGTGAGATACCCTCAACTGTCAAGTTTAACTTAGACATTTGAGGCCAAAACAATATATCTTAATGCAATATAATTACTCTATAGAATAGAATCAAAGGATTCTTCTAATATTGAAAGAAACAAACCGTACTGGACATACTTTGAAATGGAATGTGTGATTTTTGACTTTTGCATTGGCCTAAGAATATATTGACTTTAGGTGCAATTCATTTTTCTATGAAATAGCAAAGACCATTCAAACATATATTGCTGAACTACAAAATCTGGATGAGGTTTGGCCAGTCTCTGCTTGACAGTAAAAGGACTAGGGAGCTTAGGACAAGAATGGGGACTCCTTCTGCCATGAACACTCTGGGAGTTTCTGGGGCTAGGAACCAGATACAGAAAACTTTCTGCTTGGTACCTAAAAGAAAATTTATAAAGCTGACCAAATCCAATGTTTAAAGGCAAGAATTATATGTCTCTCAAATCTTCAAGAAAATGTGCTGATGCAGGAAAAAAACATGTGACCATACTTTAGACCTACACTATCAGAACCATGACTGACATGCTCACACTTCAGGAGGATAGTTTTATTTCTCTTCATGTGACTTCTCACCATAGCTTTTGCTTCTAAATTCTGAGGTGGTGGCTGCTGATTCAGAGGGGCATGAAGGATGGGCTGACAGGACCCATGCCTGGACCACAGCTGTAAAAGGTTCTTCCTTGTCATTGGACATGTTGGCCACATACGGCCCCTTGTTTCAGTTTCCACACTTGTGATTTGTGCATGGTCCATTCCCTGTAGAGGACATGACATCCCTGCGTTCACTAAACAGCACCAAAAAGAAGCCATGATTGGCACCTCACCACTGCTAACTCCTCATCTACAACTCAGCATTAGAGAGCTTTTCTGCGTTTCACTGTGAAGGACCACTTGCTGTGTGACTCCCCTGGGGTGCCCAGTGTCTTGACTCACTCTTCTCTCTTGCTTCTCACATGTACCGCCTACCCCAAGTAATGTGGAAAACAAAACAGCACACACAGAGTTAAATCAGCACACTTTTTAAAATAACCTCTGTACGTTCATTTCTTCACAAAGTCAGAAAGACAGTTCCATTGTTATGAATGTCTCCATGTTATTAACCAGGGTGTGGGTGGGGAGCAGAGGGAAGGGATGGTGGTCTTTGCATATCTAGAGTCATATATATGCCTTATGCATGCTGACACTCTGCACCTATTTTTCTTAGAAATCTCCATCAGTTCTTTATAAGGAACTGTGTCTGTTAGTAAGGGTTAGATATCTTATACCCAGGGAAATCATAAAGTCCCTGTGCAATTTTAAGCTTAATAGTTTATGAAAGAATGAAATTGTAAGGAACATGAAAGCAAGCACTATTCAGAAAATTTTTATACAACAGAGTTAAAATAACTTCTAGGCTTCAATATAACTACTATCTTTCAAGAAGCAATGTTCAATTTAACTTTTCATATGTATTGAAAACTTTTCCCATTGGTGTTGAGTAATTTATAAGTTGCAGTCATGATCCTAGTTCTCGACCTTGAAAGAATTTAGTTTTCATAAAAAGACATAAACCTTTGCATAAACTCAGTGGTAGAAACAAAGGAAGAAACAGAGGTACATGAGAACTTTATAAATTACTAAAGATGTTAGCGTCATTATATATTCTTAAGGATGAGGAAAGTCGATTCCTTTTACAAGCGATTTTCTTTTCTTTCTCCTTTTCGGTGTCTATACATTTTAATGATATTGTATTATTCTAAATAAAGAAAAATAATTTTTGAACATGTCTTCTGAGAACATTTGAATATTGGATAGACATTGGGGCATTTGCATAAAATATTTATCTGATAGATTTTCTAATGTTTATCAAAAGTCTATAGAAGCTTCTTATAAAGGCAGACAATAATAGTAACATGAATATTTTCAGGAGGAAAAAAATGTCTATAACCCAGGCAGTCGGTTTCTTTATGTCGCACAAACTTCGGTTTGTGATTCTACTTTTGCAAAACAAAATAAAATTTATTTGAAGAACATAAAAAGGCTAAAAGGGCAGGTTGTGTCAACAGGCCACTATCGCCTGCCTGCCTTTTTATAAAACTGAGTAATTATTTACATTTTAACAAAAGGTATAACTTGTAACAATGTAACTACTTTTAATAGCATCACCATTCAATCAATCACTACTTAAACAGATCAGAGAGATTTTTGCCTCCTCCTACCTGTCAGACATCATTCTCGCTCTCTTACCATTACTCTGTAAGTCATCTAGTTGCTAAAAACTGAAGGGTTTTTATACTGAACTATTTTGAGGTAATGGATTTTACAATCTGAGACTATTAATGATATTTCATAAATAATATGACTGTTATTTTCTATAACTTTTGTAAATGTTTCAGGAATGTTTTCTGAAGAATTTTTTTAATAAAAAAATCTTTGCTAAGAAACGATTACTTTCTAATTCTGAAGAAAACACTTAAGAGTGGTAGCCAGTAGTCTCTCTAGCTTCAAGCAAAATTTAGACCTATAAATTAGCCAGGTGTGATGGTGCATGTCTGTGGTCCCAGCTACTCCGGAAGCTGAGGTGGAAGGATTGCCTGAGCCCCGGAAGTTGAGGTTATAGTAAGCCCTGATTGTGCCACTGCACTTCATCCTAGGCAGCAGAATGAAAGACCAACTAAAAAGAAAGAAAAATGAGACCTATAAAAAGTATTTCTTCTTATTTTTGAACACACAGTCTATCTCTGAAGGTAACAATATGTTTCAGGTCTCAATCTCTACAGTCATGACAAATTCCATCCAAAGGGTTGCTCTGTGCTTTCAAAAGTATATGAACAGTCCATGTGGTATTTTATTCAAGTTTATGTAATGAATACACAAAACAAAAGTGAGGTATATTAGAGAAAAATTATTCACTTTACAAAATCTTTGAACAATCTCATTATTTCAAAGTAAGCCTTAAATTTTTTTAAAAAGCATAAAAGGACAAAAAGTTAGTAAAACACAAACAAAATAAGATAGGTATTTAATTAAAATAAGGGATGCATGAGTGATGCTTAGTATTTTGTTTGACTGTGTTGTTAGTTTTTGCTAACTTAACTAGATTTTAAGTAACTTAAAATGTGTGGTATTACATAATGTATTTTAAATGCATTTTATTAAGCAGATGCTAAGATCTAAACTAATATAAAATACTTCATTAGATAAAATGCTATATTTGAAGTCATTATGCAAGAAGTGAAGGGTTACAGAAAGGCAATATAACCAATATTTATTTCCTTGAACTGCTGGGTAAGTGCAGTATCATTGTGTCTTTTTAGTAGAAATATCAGATTCCAGTGTAAAAAGAAAAAAAAATATTAAATACTTTTATTATAAATACATGAATACCCTCAATTCCTTAAATACTCAAGCAGGTTTAGTGCTTTGTCTGAAAATAGTAGTTAGTGTGTGCAGTGTCAGGAAGAGACTACAGGGATAGGTAGAGTGATGTTTACCTTGGTACACAAAGTGGAAACCCCTGGCAGACGCCCCACTCTTGGCACTGAATCGGAGCAGAATCTGATTTGATGTAGCCAAAGGCAAAGTTTCACCTATAAATCAAAACAGAGGTAATGTGTGGGTTCCAGATAGTACACAATTAGTGCTATAGTAACTAACAGTATTTTGAAAAATAATCATGAATAAGAAATGTCACATTTAATTTTTGAATTTTAAGAAAATGTTTCACTTTGGGGTTTAAGACTCAAACATATTGTTTTTATACAGATTTTAAAACTTTTTTGTTTGTGCTTTCTATTAAAATATATTGTAATCATTATTCCACTAATACTTTCTTTTGAAGAAGGCACCAATAATAGACCTATTAGCTGATGATGTAGGAGAGAGAAGTGCTGGGTGAATCGTTTACTCCTCATCACCTTAATTTGACAATTTACTTGATAAGATTCTACTTAAAATTAAGAAAATGTCTCCAAATTAATTAGCTGATTAAAGAAAAAAACAAATGGATTCAGAAAAAAACCTTTAAAGTACACATGCAATATGGGGTACAGTCTGTTTCAAACAGCGGTGAGAGGCTGTGGCTGGCCATAAGCTTTTCAGAGGAGAGTTTGTTACTTTGTATCAACATATTGAATGTGTGTCTTCCCATGCATTCTTAGACATTACATCATCAAACATCAGTAGCAAACAAAACAGAGGTTAAGACTTTTGCTTTATAATGAACTAGTGAAAAATGGGAACTAACCAAATCTTAATCTCAGTTGGCCAAAGCTTTTGGCATAGTTTGATAAATTTATAGAAAGGTAAATTTACAAAATAAATTGCCAAATTTCTTAGAAAATGGTAAAAATGTAGCAGTAATCCAAATAAGGGCTAGATCACCAATGAGGAGGCAGGGTTAAATACACTGCGTCATACTAAACCAACAGAATACTATGCAGAACTCAAAGTAGTGACATTTGATATATGCTATTTTTTGATACAGACATAGGTGATTTTAAGTGAAAGAATGAGATAAGAAAATAAGTTGTGAGGTAATGTCTCAATTTTATTAAGTCTCATATGTGCTTGCAAGTATATGTGTGTGCGTGAATGTATGTGTGTGCATCTGTGCACATTATACATGTGTGGATGTAATGGATCTCTGTGTGTAGGAATTTATAGACTTAGAATGATTTAGACCCAAATGTTAGTGCTTTTATCTTCAGAAGAAAGATTAACTCACATAGACAGAAAATAAAACACACAAAATAGTTGATTATTCCTTTTTTTTTGGATGTTTGCCTCTTTTATTGAGATAAATATTATATTTCCTACAATCTTAGTAAGGAAAACAATAAAAGAAAGTGGTTTTAGGGATGGCATAAGAATACTTTTGAAATCTTACATCTAAAATAAGATTTTCCTAAACACACATGCAAATTCAAAAATGATTACCTTTCTCCTTCATCAAAACAAAGACAAAACTAGACACATTTAAAATTAATCACCCTAGCTGTCTACATGGAATTAACAACAAAATTCTTTGAAAGGTTACCTGAATGAGACCCAGAGAGCGAGCTGAGGAGTCTGGCCTGTGCGTGGGTCCCATCAAATAGCTCTGCCAGATCATTCAGAGCTGTCTGGAAATAGGCAAACTGTCCAAACACCACTACAAAATAAAGGGGGTGGGTTGGCACAATACTCCTTAAAACAAATGCAATGTAGATTTTAGTTGTGCTGCATGTTTATCGATTGACCCGAAGAATCACTACCGTAAGAATCCTATAAAAAATAAATAGTAACATATATTCTTTGCTTTCTACGTTTTCAGCTGATTAAACAATTTGACCTTGCTTCTTGACTTTTGATATTTAATAAAAGAGAGAAAATTACTTTTTCTATATAATTTGGACATTAGAGGAAGAATTTTTAAAATAAATATCTCATTAAGATAGTGGGAAAATATCCATAAAGGTATTCATTTATTTTGGGGTAATTAGTGACATCATTCAATGAAAAATAAGCAAAGGATCAAGACCCATGATAATTTAATGAGGAATTTAAAGTTCTTCACAAAAGGTTATTTTAATGCCCAAGTCACAGTAACACATTGCCAGATACATAGTAACACATTTATACATTTGACTCAGCAACGTATTACAGGAATTGCTCACTGTTCTTCCACTCTATACCTTTATTCCCTTACAGGCTATGTAAGTTGTGGGAACACACCTCCTACAAGTAAAACTAACTACGTATTTTATGACTTCAAATGTAATCCATGCTTGTGTATTTCAAGTAATGCTTCAGAGGGCCTTTAAATATTTAGAAAAACCTGTGATTTAGTATCTATTTACAAGTAACGAGCAGCAAATCCTTTTCTAATCTATGTGTAAGGTTTGCACTAAAATCATTCTAAGTATGAACAAGAAATGGAGGTGTGTGTATCAGTTATGCCTGTCAGAATTCTTTTTTCTTTTTTAGAAAGAAAAGTTTATTTAAAAGTAAATTAAAAAGAGAAAGAGAAGGAAGAAAGAAGATTCACCTTCCCAAGGTGGGGGAGGGGAACAAAGCCAGGAAGCATGGCGACAGCCATGGCTCAAAGAGCACATGGCCACCCAGATTCTAGCAAGGCAATGGCTCACATGTCAGAATTCTAATGAAAATAACTTATGTTCATGTTAGCACAATGGAGGTAATTTAACTATAACAGTGTGTATGTATATAGACATGTGTATAAATACATACATATCTATGAAATATAATACATACACACATATCTAATATATCTTGTATTTAAGATGTTATTATTTCTAATTGAGAAACACCCCGGAAGAATGTAGACAAAGTGGATTTTTCCAATAGATGTAGTGCACTAAAAACCTGGCTTTTCAGGGATTACAGAGGAAGAAGAATTTGTTTTTCTACAGTTTCTGCTTATACCATCCTTCCCTAAGCTGCCATCTGCCCATATTAATTAAATGTGTATCATGTGGGAAGCTGAATGCTTGGGTCTTTTAATTAGCACGAAAGTAAATCATCCATACATAATTCCTACTTTTTCCCAAGAAACATTTAGCGAGCATCAGTTTTCTGCTAGAAACGAAGACAAAAGAAATGCGTAAGATATTAATGTTGTTCTAAGACTATTAGGAATTAATGTGAAACATAATTTCCATAACAAATATTTATTTGGAGTGCAGGATATCAGGAGCCAGGAGAAACTCCCAGTCAGTTCTGGAGATGGTCCTGAAGCTTTCCTTGATGAGTCTCCTCGAACTGGGTTCTAACCTATGACTGAAACTCAGCCCAAGACAACAAACTCATTTGCTACAAGAGTAAAGCTGTTCAGTGCTTTCTAATGAGAACAGAGTTATAGGGACTTAACCTGTGGGAATAGTCAAAGCTTCATGGAGGATATAACATTATAGCTTATTCTTCAAGAATGATTTGTACAGAAATGGGACATAAGGAAATTATTTTAGCAAGAGGAATCTGAAGAGCAAAATTTTGGATGTAACAAAGGCAGGACATAGTCGACTGGCTAACACTCCGTGGTTGAAAGGAAGAGGGCAATTTGATGCAAAGCCCTGTGGCTTCAAAGTCCACACCGAAACACATACACACTTTGCTCTGGAGGCAAAAGAAGTAAGAATGTTTATCAAAATATTAACATGATCAGACTTCTGTTTTAGAAAGGATTCTTGGCAGTGTTTTTGGATGAGACCAGAGAGAAAAGTTGAATATCTAATTTGATATTGAAAATTTGAATATTTGTCTAATATCACTTTCCATTTGTAGCCTGATAGGAAGGCAGTGGTCCCTTCCTACCTGGCATTGGTCACATACTTCATAATATTTGTATATCTGCCTTATAAACCACACCATGAGTATGTCAAGAAAACGGGCTATGTTTTATTATTCTTTATGTCCTTAGCTCTTACCACTATTGTTGAATCACTTGTTTAATCAATTTATTACCCAGGAAATAGTAAGGAACAAGAGAAAAAAATAAAACATGGGACAGGATGGATTTTCATTAAGTATTCAGAATAACAATTCTGTTGTTTTATTCAAACACAGAATCGTTTTTTCAAACTAAAGTCTTCTGCCCAGAAAGAATATGATAAGCATGTCACTAAAACTTTCAGATGAGAAAATTATAATCAATACTTAGCATGAGATTTTTTTGCTGAAAAATTCTGTGTTGTGATAACATTTTGTGCAAAACTAAAATCATAAAATATTTTGCAGCTAAAGTCTACTGTGATAAATACACTTTGTCATGTGTCCATGAAAAATAAAAAAGATTTTTTTGTGATAAAGTAATTGAAGATGTGTTGAGCATTTAGTTAAAAAAAATGTATTTCATTTAAATACAAAATTAAAGCTGAGGTTAAATTAGGGACTTTAAGAAATTTGGTTCATTAAAAAGCTGAAATCTAGAAACTGTTCTAAGTATTATTGTCTATTTACCATAACAAAGGAAATATAAATGCTTAGGAGAGATGTTCATTAGAATTTAAGAGGCCTGTAAATAATAACATAATAGAAATAACATATTATTTATAGAAATATCTCCCATATACAAGTAACTGCCTGGTCATATAATTGTTTTTTAAAATATTTCACCTCAAGCTCATTCTAACATTAGAATTTTTATTTATATTCTGAGTAGGTGACTGCTTTTTTGAATATAAAGGAAAAGTATGTAGAGTTTTTAACTTTACTACCATAAAAAAGGTAATTGTCTACAAGATTACAAAAGCTACTATCTGGTTTACTCCAGAAAAGAATCCAACAGAGGATAAATTAAATTTTCCTGATCAAGAGTGACTGAGCATTGAGCAAACAATGTGCAAAACAATGGAAAAGGCCCTTCTAGAAATGAAGTCATTCTAAGAAATTTGCTCAGATTGGGAGAAAATTTAGCAGGGAGACTCATGAAGTTAGGCTTTACCTGGTGAAATTGACAGCACTCTGCCTGCTTCTATACCTCTAAGCACTCAAAAGTTGGCCCAAGGGTTCAATGATCTCCATCATAATCTGATTACTGAATTTACGAGGCAATTATGCACAAAGAGATAAAAGTGTTGCTCTCACCTACCAGTCACTTCACAGTCCTCCCTTACACACAAAAACAACCCATGAAAGAATGACTTCTGAGAAAAATAAGAACAGAGTGAAATTAATTCTCCGATGATTCTGGATAGGAATCGTAAAAGGAAATACAAGCATTTCCTCTCACACTGGTAAAAGGATAGTAATGAGCATTGTGTGGAGATGTCTGGAAAGCCTGCTACTTAAATGAAACGTGTCTCTTTTTATTTTATTTATTTTACTAAGAGTTAGAATACTTGCTTATCAAATGACAGAAAAGTGAACACTGAAAAGAGATATAACAATGAATTTAAAATAAAATAAAATTCTTACCAAATTCCTTTGGTACAGTTATAGAATAGAGGCATATTTGGCCAGCTGTGTAGTTATGAGGGTAGTTTGGTGATAAAACTACCCCTTCTGATCCCGTGTACTGGCCTCCACAGGGAGCTGAAATAAAATCGACCAAGAATTATGCCCTGTGCAACAATAATACTGCAAGGACAGGAGAATCAAAGCTGAAAAGCATCAAATAAGTATGCAGCATGACCTGTTCAACTGAAAAGCTTACAAAATATTAAAGTTAAAATCCTGTTTTACATTGCTATAAAATAATAGCAAAATAAAAACAAGAGTTACCAGGTCAAAATAGAAGAATTCAACATAGGAGAAAGCACTAACCTTATTTTCTGTCTTTGGCATGTTATAAAAACAAAGGAAACAGCTATAATAATAATAAAATAGATTCCAAAAAACAAATGATTAAATGACTTTGCAAAGTCTCACTGGAATTGTCTAGCTGATATCTATCATGATATTAACTTAAGAGACACAAAGAGTATTTCAGTTTTCTATTGTTTTTAAATTAATATGGGACTAAAAGAAAAAATCTTTTCATTTTTAGAATGTTTCTGTTTTAACTTTTCATCTCATAAGCTTAGTTAAAGAATAACATGTATGATTATTAATGCTTCAGGGTCTCTTCCTATAAACTCGGTGTAAAGCCAAAGAAACTCATTACTAAAAAGTTAGCGCAGATAAAATAGAAAAAAACTCACTGTGGTATGTTTGTGTTTGTGTATGTGTCTTGATTTCTCTTCTGACTATCTTATTTTCTTTGGCATTATTTTTGACGAGAAAATAAAAAACACTGTACAATAATGTTCAAAGCACTTTTCTAAGCATCATAAAATAGACAACCAATTAAGTCCCAGCAAATTGATATACAGTCTTTAAATGAAATCACCAATTCTTCAATTCCCCACACTCTTACATAAGAAGGGGCCCAAGTTTTCTCATCTATTAGGCTGTGGAACTGTGACCGGCATGGAATCATTCAGCCTGCAGCCCACTACTCCTGCCGTCATGCTGCCTGTGACCTGACGACAATTCTTACTTGATACACCTTCACTGATTTGAATTCAGAAACATTTTCAATATTTTATAAAGTTTCTATTTCTGTAGCTCATTTCTTCTTGATATGGCAATTTTTAAACCTCAAAAAAAATAGAAATTAGAGACGTGTAATCCTTTGAGTGTGAATTAACATACTTTAAGTCCTAACCGATAGAAAGAACGTTCTCTAGGATTAATAACACCCCCTATACTATGGTAATGATAAAGTTAAGGTACCTTGTTAATAAACAATCAAAAATATTTTTGAAATCCACGCATCCATTGCTTGAAAAGCTTAAGTCATATTCTAAGAGTCAAGGAAAAACAGCTTTAGCAAGTGACGACTTTGATCTGGTTACGATCAACTGGTAGGCTAAGCTCAGCCTTCATGTCTTAACTCAGAATCACGTTATCATTCTAAAGCACTAACACTGACTTTTATACAATTTTAAATAGAAAAAATTATTTAGGAGGAGGAAATTTCTGTAAGCTCAACTCTGAAGCTGAAGGTCCCCAACAGGATGCTGGGAGACTCACTCTACCAATATAGAGGTATCACCCAACTATTTTTTCACCATCTCCACCATATAAATTCAACCAGGCTATTTCAGAAATATCTTTTCTTTTTCCTCAAAAGCTTAAAGCTCAAGTTTTAAAAAATGAGTACAAATAATAAAAATTTACGTTTTAGCTCACATACAAAATTCAAGCACATTGTTTCACAAATACCCCTTTTTTGTCAAAAAAAAATTCAGATTTTAAACAAGAAGTATTAATAAAGAGTGAAAATAAAACCTCACAGGGCTAAAACTTTGATGGCCAAATTATTAGAGACAGAAACTCATTCTTATCAAGGATGTCTTCTGAAATATTTTTAAAAGTAAAACTATAAATACTTATTTTGCCTAAGGATCGAATAAAAGAGCATTACCTTATGACAATAGAGAATACTTTTTTAAAAGTAGGATCAGGCACAGTGACTTACACCTGAAATCCCAGCATTTGGGGATGCTGAAGTAGGAGGATTGCTTAAGCCCAGGAGTTTGAGGCTGGGCTGAGTCAGGATCGTGCCACTGCACTCCAGCCTGGGCAACAGAGTGAGACCCCGCCTCCCCTAACCCCCAAAAAGTCAAAGATGAAATGAAGGCAAACTGACCTGGCAGTATGTCCTTCATTACCTTTGTAAATGATTCCTTTGTCTAGAGGTTCTTCCTCAGATTTAAAGACAAGCAACAGAGCTGTAAAATATTTTCCAGATACAACTAAATATTTGCCAAGCTGGGGAATATATGTAGAGAATGTATATATAATTTCTAACAATTATTATTCCTAATAATTATTATTTCTGTGTTACTGGGTTAATCTGTGATCCAAGCAAAGTCCTTGTCATGCTAGAAATTATTTTATCTTAATGAAATAACAGAAGGAAAATAAAGCTGTGCTTACTATCTGGTAATTAATGTATTAAACCGATTATTTCCTAAATGAGTAAAGACATGCAACAGCACTCACTGCAGATGGCAACAAGAGACTTGCTCATTCATTTGGTTAATTGGAAGATATATATATATCTCATAGGTCAAGACAGAAGCACACAATCAAATGGAATAAACCCAAAACAAAACTAGCAGGCAGAAGCTATTCTGACCCTTGACAGGGACTGTATGCTGTTTCTGTTTCAGTGCTAACTCTGTAAGAAACCTCACTGAACAAAAATTGTAGGCAATAGATGAGTCACCAAGAGAAAAAGTCTACAAACAAACAGGTGCGAAATTCACCAACTCCATCCTATCATATAGGAACTATCAAAATGTTTAAAATAGAGCAAATATCCCCAAGTTTAATGTGATCTGAATGACTCGTGGGCACTAATTTCATGCACACATGTATTGCTCTCCATAGCACAACATAGAGGAAATCACTTTAAAGATTTAGAATGTCTTTACATGCATATTTTACTTACATGTCGTCAGAATGCCATATGGTAAAATAGTTCCTATGAGTTATGCCCTTTGATGACTGGCAGAAAGAAGTGTGCCTGACATCACCAATCTTTAGACATGGAAAAAGGAATAATCTCTAATTTAAAATTTGAACATATATATATATTGCCCAAATATGACTTCACTTTTAAATGTCCCCTCTATGGCTAAAGTATTAGCATTCCCCAATAAATTCAGATTGTACTTGAATTTAACACAAATTAAATTCCCTCAGTATTATATTATACAATATGTGTATATTTATTACTCTTAATGTGTATATGTACATACAAATGCCTTTAAAGCAAACTGAAATAAACTGGCTGAATGTCATAATATATAAACTAAAGAGTAGTTTACATATATAACTAGTTTTTTCAAATTTCCACATGTAAAATACAATAAGAATGAGCCTTGAAATTGGACTTCTGCACTTGTAGTTATTGGCAGAGTCCTCTGTGTCCTCTAGACCTAAATGTTACATGCAGTCAACCCACTCCCATAGGGTGTCATGAGAGGATTTGGAGCCAGGAAAATCTACAGGATTCTCGCACATATTTGGAACGTATAATTTTACAATTAATATTATATATAATTTAATATCAAAGAAGAGCATTATAACACTAGTGAATCAATCCTTACTGGCAAGTTCAGACATTAAAAAAAATGATTGAAGGCCAGGCGTGGTGGTTCACGCCTGTAATCCTAGCACTTTAGGAGGACAAGGGGGGAGGATTGCTTGAGCCCAGGAATTCGAGACCAGTTTAGGTGCTATAACAAGACCTCATCTCTACAAAAATTTGAAGAAAAGAAAAGAGAAAACAAACCTAGCCAAGTGTGATGACATGCACCCGTAGTCCTAAAGACTGTGGTGAGCTGTGATTGTGCCACTGCCCTCAAGCCTGGGTGACAGAGTGAGACCCCAACTCAAAAAAAAAATAAAAACATTATTGGAACATGCATATGGAGACCACAAAGGATTCTTTGCTCTCTCATACCTTCTGAAATCTGAGAAGTATCAATTCTTACACCCCTCTATTTCTTATTAGAGAATAAAATACATAATAATAAGGAGGTTTAACAGGGTATACACTATTCTCATTAAAAATTATTATAGCCACTCACTGATTTATTCACTGACACTAGACACATATATCAAGTTCTTACTTTATGTCGGTCATGATTGCGGGGTTCAGGCAGGCACAGCTTTTTAACTTGAAAGCTCTTGGGAGCCTGAGACAATGGACTTAGAAACAGTTATAGCAGAACATGCAAAGGAAATAAGTTCTGTTTGTTTTATTTTTTTGTTTGTTTGTTCTGGTTTTTCATGTACTAATTTTTGTAAATGTCTATTTGGGTTGAAGGGGCCAGTAGCATTGTTAGGCTGTATTAAGGAAGATATGTTTGCTTTACAACTTCAGTTTATTAAACAGAACTGGTCTTTGAGTTCATCTTAAAATAACCTTGGAAATAAAGTTGTCTTCAACAAACCATGGGGTTCTACCCTCTTCTTCTTTTTAAATATATACCATGCAGCTGACAACCACCATAAAATATATATACTGTGCAAAGAGTAAAGGAAAATAAAGAATACAAGTCACATGTTCACAGTTTGAGGAGTTTTTGCCTACAGAGACTTCCATGAAACTACCACTTAGATTAAGATACAGCATATGAGCTGGACTCAGTGGCTCAGCCTGTGAACCCACGCTTTTGGGAGGCTGAGGTGAGTGGATTGCCTGAGTCTGCAGGTTTGAGACCTGCCTGGGCAACTTGGTGAGACCTCATCTCTACAATAAATCAAAAATTAGCTGGGCATGGTAACACGCGCCTGTAGTTCCAGCTACTTGGAAGGTTGAGGCGGAAGGATTGCTGGAGCCCAGCAGGTCGAGGCTGCAGTGGCCGGGAGCGGCCACTGCACTCCAGTCTGGGCGACAGAGTGAGACTCCAACTCAAAAATAAAAAATAAATAAATAAATAAGATACAGCATATGGCCAACAGCCAGGAGGTCTATCCACTGCCCCACTCCACCCTCAATTCACACTCACAGAGCAACTGTTATAGGTTAGTTTTGCCTGTCCTTGAAGATTGATCTTACCTTTAAGATGTGATTTTACTAATTTAATCTCTAACTAAGAAATTACAAACTATTGAGGTTTAGGAGGAAATGACACATCCATTCAAATAAATATATTTGAATTTTTTCCCTCTGTTTCTATATATACATAGATAAATAGAGATAGATATCTTATATGTAGAGGGAGGGGAAAAAAGAAAGAAAGAAGGAACTAGAAAGTGCTAATCACCTCCTACATAGATCTGATCTAGATTACACAAAACTGGAAGATAAAAAACGGAATTATTTGTGTGAAAAATATTGTCCCCTTCAGAAAGCTATGAGAATAATAATACACTCACTGAATCCTAGCACTTTGGGATTTAGCCCATTAAATGATCAACGAGCGTCAGATGCCGATTCCACACTAGTTCTCTGAGCAATACTAACCCCTGATTAGAGGAACATAGTACTGCAGCGTGAAGCCATGTCTTAAACGAAGTTTGGCATTTAAGAGGACAGTCACGGCCCTGAGGACCCTGAACGTCACTTACCGCTGCAGGAGGGCAGTGCCTGGTCCCAGGAAGGCTTCCCGTCGGCCCCGATCACACATGTAATGGAGGAAGGGTCCACAATTTTGTAGCCAGAGTCACACTGATAAGTGACGATTGAGCCAAGTTTGAAGTCAGTTCCGATTCTTGTCCCATTCATTATATTTCCAGGGTCAAAACAAGCTTCCCGTGGTTTCTCTGTAGAAGAAATGAATGCAGACTCCATAAGAGCAGGGACCTATTCTTTTGTTTGTTTGGTTCATTTTTTGATTGTTTTCATTAGGGCCTAGACCAGAGTTCAGCATATGAGAAATGTTCAAAAAATATGTATTGATTATTAATGGTCAAGTTAACTTACTAGTTAAATAAAAATTTTAAAAATTCCTTCTTAATAAAATTATATTTATTTTTTAAAAACTACTTTTTACTATAGAATTGATATAGAATTACCTTCATCTAGGTTAAAAATATAATCTAGGTTTAAAAACATAGTACTGAATTTTTATACATTTGTCTTTCTTTTGGTTGTGGACTTTAATACTGAACCAAAGAAATTAATTCTGGAAAAATTGAGAATTATATTTTAGCTTTTGTACTTAAATCATATTAACATGAAATTACTCCAAACTATCTGGAAAAGATGGGAGAATTTATCTTCTTGAAAAGATCATGGTTTATTGCCTGAAAATTAAGAGCACTTTTTTTTTTTACATTAAAAAAAATAGAGATAGGGCCTCACTATGTTCCCCAGTCTGATCTCAAACTCCTGGGCTCAAGCAATCCTCCCATCTTCCTGAGTGCTGAGACTACAGGCGTGAGCCACCTTGTCCATCCAAGAGCATTTTCTAAATTCAGAACAGTAGAGAGATCTAGAGAATGAGCATGGAAGGATGCCCTGATTCCTACTAGCATCTCTGTGTTGTTAGTCTTAGAGACGTGAATCTGTAACTTAGCAGGAAAAATACATTTAATGAATGCTTGATAAGGGCCAAACATTATGTTTAGCATGTAATAATTACCCAAAAGTTCTGTATATCTTAATTATAATAACAGTTGAAGTTTACTGAGGCCTTATTATGCACCAGGCACTAAGCTGGGCACATTGCATGCTTAGTTCTAATTTTCATTATACCTCTGCTAGGCAAATGCTATGAGAATCTGAAGTTTAAGAGACGTTAAAGACCTGACGATGACACACCTTAGAGATCTGCTCAATTCTGGAACTACAGATAAGATTTTTTTTTTCTTTTTTAAGTTGGAGTCTCACTCTGTCACCCAGACTGGAGTGCAGTGGCACGCTCCTGGCCACCGCAGCCTCAACCTGCTGGTCTCCGGCGATCCTTCCGCCTTAGACTTCCAAGTAGCCAGAACTACAGGCATGCACTACCACACTTGACTAATTTTTTGTTTATTGTAGAGATGAAGTCTCACCAAGTTGCCTGGGCGGTTTTTGAACCTGCGGGCTCAGGCAATCCACTCGCCTCGGCCTCCCAGAGAGCTGGGATTACAGGCTGAGCCACCAAGCCCGGCCTTTTTTTTTTTTTTTTTTCTTTTTTGCGTCAGGTCTTACTCGCCTGGGCTGGAGAGCAGAGGCATAATTACAGCTCACCAGAGCCTCCACCTCCTGGGTTCAGGTGATCCTTCCACTTTAGCCTCCTAAATAACTGGAACTACAGGCATGCAACACCATGCCCAACTACTTTTTTCATTTTTTGTGGAGTTGAAGTCTCACTATGTTGCCTAGGCTGACCTCTAAATCCTGGGCTTAAGTTATCATTCTACTTTGGCTTCCCAAATTGCTGAGATTATAGGTTGAACCACCATGCCTGGCCTGAATAAGGCATTCACTTTTGACTGCATTAAATATCTATTTCTCTCAGAAACAAATATAAAACTTTCTTTTTCTCTCAGAGTCTTATTGCTCTGTAGGCAATCTCAGTTATCTTCTCATCTCCTTTATATTTTAGACTTTCTATTTCAATAAGCCATCCTAAATATCTCTAAATGAAAAAGTATATAACCCTACACAGTACTGTCTTTTTGGAACAAATGATATGTAATAGTCACAAGAGGCAACAAAACCACCAAATTTTGGGAAGACCTGCACGAAGAAAAAAAGCAAGCTTGTGCCTACTCAATATTTTATTTTCCTCCCTCCTTCCCTCTCTCCTTCCCTCCCTCTTTCTTTCTTTCTTTCATTCAAGTCCGGGATCTCACACTGTTGCTTAGGCTAGAGTGCAGTGATATGATCATGGCTTATCACAGCCTCAACCTCTGGGGCTCAGGCAATCCTTTTGCCTTTGCCTCCCACATAGCCAAGATACAAGTGCACACCAGCAACTTTTTTATTTTTTGTAGAGACGAGGTACTGGTATGTTTCCCAGGCTGGTCTCAAACTCCTGAACTCAAGTAATTTTCCCACCATGGTCTTCGAAAGTGTTGGAATTACTAGTGTGAGCCACTGTGCCTATCCAATATTTTCTACTGTACTTTCAATAATCAAAGTATCAACATCAGGCAAACAAAGATTTATTTGGCAATTGTTGACTTCATCTGTTATAATAATCCTATTATTTTTAAATATATTATAATGATTTATTATCATCAACAAATTATATTTAATATATGTACTTTGATCAATTATATATATATGAATAAAATTATAGAAGTCTTCTCAAAAGGTGTCTATTTTTTCTCTTGTTAATCTCTCACCAAATGTCGTTTGGTGCCTTGAGACCTGTGCCCTCTAATTTCTTTATTGAAAACCTATTTGCACATTTCAGTGTCATCTGACATTGTAATAATGTTTCATAGCTTCCTTAAATCCCATGTAGAACTCAGAACATTATTTTAGTGAAATACGGAACAAATAAACTGTAGTACTATAAAATTGTCCCGTTTTGTCATTGTTTATTTGATTATTCAACAAAATGTACTGAGCATCTAATGAACACAAGCACTGTTGAGGCTGTATGATTTTTCTCTATTCAAAAAAGAAAAATTCTCAGTGTATGTCTATTCATATATGTCTGTGGCCTTTTCATCCTTTTTGATCATTTTTTGTTAAAAATCCCTTTCAGTTTAGTGTCCTGTTTGGTTAAATGTTGCTTACAGAACTTCTGCTTTATGCCATTAATTTTGAGTTCTAATGGCAGAATTTTCTTCAGATGAAGTGCCGCTAATCTTTGGGTTCCATTTGCTTACTTGTCAGCTCGGGATGTTCAGTGATAAATCACTCGCGATTTTTTTGCTTACAGTTTGTCAGGCTTTCTAATTAGAAGACTTCATCACTCGGTGTTCTATGTTGTTCGTGTCCATTCCACTTAAGAACACTAGGAGTATTTCTGCATTGGAGGTCGGATAGCCTGAATTCGCCATGCCCCTTGGACAGCTACACAGTGGGACCGCCTGCTACTCTTTCTTTCTCCATCATGCCTGAGTGTTGGTTCTGCTACCTGCTTAGCTGGTGGCACTGGGCTTTTTCTATGCTAGGTGCAATGGTATCATCACTGTTGTCTTTCCTGTGATTTTTTTTTTCAGACTCTATTGGAAAACTTTTGAAACATTGGCTAGGCAGGATGGCTCAAGTTTGTAATCCCAGAACTTTGGGAGACTGAGACAGGAGGATTGCTTCAGGCCAGGAGTTCAAGATCAGTTTGGGCAACATAGCAAGACTCCATCTCTATTAAAAAATTTTAAAAATTAGCCAGGCATGGTCATGCACACCTGTAGTCCCATATGCTCGAAAGGCTGATGCAGGAGAATTACTGGAGCCCAAGAGGTGAAGGCTGAGGTGAGCCATGATTGCACTGCTGCACTCCAGCCTGGGAGTTAGAGTGAGGCCTTATTTCTAAAAAACTTAAAATTAAAAAAAAAAAAAAACATGAAGAGCTATAACCCTGATTTAGATGACTATACGGCTATCACAGAACCCAGACAAAAAAAGAGGCAGTTGTCAATATCTGTCTGGGGACGGGGAGACACCTCTTATCAACAAGGGTGCCTGAACGAAGCATATTTGCATACATAACCCTTAACTGTACCCCACAATATCATAATAAAAAATATTGATTATATATATATACAAAAAAGAGGCAGTTGCTTCTTCCTGTTCCTTTTAAGTCCTTTATACTTCATTCATTCACTGCCCATGGATTCATCTACCTTGGAGTGTCTGGGAAAAGCAGAGGCATTGAGGAAATAACTATCGGGGTAACGCTCTTATACTTAAAGAAAAATTTGCTGTATTTGCTTGTTTTTTGCTGGCTTTGTTTTGTTTTTGGCTATTGTAGAATGGGGACTGTCATAATGAAATGCATTTTAGTGAATCCTTGTTAACATGGAAGCTACCTGATGATATGACAAATGCTTAACAATAGTTTTCAATTATTAATTAACATGACAGATATCCAAAAGGCACAGGATACTCTTATTGTTGATTTGTATAATTGTTTAAATTGTACATTTTAATAAGGATCCTTAAGTTTGTAGATTTTAATGTTTCTTGTGAAGTAGATCAATTTTCTTCTTAAAACCACATAAATAAACAGAGGTCTTTTAATTAAAGTACAGTCTATATTTCCCTTTAAAGTTTTCTTTACAAATGTAACTCAAAATTTTAAATAAATAGCTTTTTTTTTTAAAGTCAGAATCTCACTCTGTCATCCAGACTGGAATGCAGTTATACACTCATGGCCACCACAGCCTCAACCCACTTGGCTCAGGTGATACTTCTACCTCAGCCTTCCAAGTAGACAGAGCCACAGGTATGCACCACCATGTACGGGTAATTTTTTTGTTTATTATAGAAATGAGTCTCGCCAAGTTGCCCAGGCTGGTCTCGAACCCCTGAGCTCAGGTAATCCTCTTGCCTTTGCCTCCCAAAGTGCTGGGATTACAGGCATGAGCCACTACGCCTGGTTGTAGTTTTATTTTTCAAGAAAATGCTCATTGTTATGAATTGACATTTTAAAGTGTTCTTCTCTAATTCTTTGTAATATACCTTGCATTTTATTTGTTCAGATAAGAAATAGATTTGAGAAAATACACATTTATTTTTATGACCCCAAAAGAAAAATGCTTAGTTTAGAATGGTTTTATTTGTGAGTTAGTTGCCTCGGGATGTTGCTGGGGGATGGTGGATCCCAAGCCAAGGGTGAGCCACTTTTCTGAGGGCCACAGAGAGAAGCTCTGACCAGGGACAGAGGCCCCAGGAAGCTGGTCCATGGATTGAAAGAGACAGAGAACAGACGTATTCACAGTGAGAATGCGGAGGTAAAACAACGCAATTTTTATGAACTTCAATTTAGTCACTCTCAAGAAGCAAATTAGAAGATACTAAAATACATTGTAAAATAATTCTTAAATATTATTAAATTCTTCATTTCACAAACCACTGTTTGTTTTTAAATGGCCATGAACTGGACAAAGTTTCCCCATTATTTTTTTTTTTTAGTTAAGGTAGAAATGTGTCTCTGGAATTTCTTTCCCACTGTAAAGGAAGAAGACCATTTCCCAAACAGATGGTACACATGTCAGCATTTATGCATTAAACAGATATACTATACTTTATAAAGAAATGTTTACAGTTAAAATAATCCTAGCATAAATAAACTCCCTCACAATTTCAGCTGATCATACAGTACCTTTAAATTCAATGGCAAACCCCGAAAGGCCCACAGATGCATCGCTCCGAAATGCCAGAAAGAGACTATTTCCACTGCTCTCAATTCTTTCTGGGGCTTGGGAGCCCTGGAAACTTCCAACAAGAGGGCTGTTGGAATCCTCCCCTTCGTAGATGTGTAGGAAATCATAGCTGGGTTCCATGTTAAAACTAAAAGGAAAGAATATTCACTATGTTAATTAACAAATAATATTAATATATGCCTAATATATATGCACTTTATAGTCCAGAGTCTTAAGCCTTTGAGAGCACAAAGTGATTTTTTTTTTGCATTTGTATAATAATTGTAACTATTAGGACAATCCAAAAGCTAAACTTAATAAGAATCAAAATGTCGAGAATATTATTAACTATAACAAATATTAATTACAATAAAACTATTAGTCTTTTGCAAAATAACCATCATATTCAACAATTATCTTGACCACAACTAAAAGGAAATAATTCATAATAGCATAAATATAACATTCCTTCCCTGTACCCATGAATTTGCTAATAATATGTAATTTGAAAGAACTTTGCTCAAAAGGGATGAATTCCTACTGATATTTGACATTGATATTTGATTTTTTATGTGAATATTTCTAGTCTTGAAAATATGTACCCTTGATATTACTGTTATTAAAGTTTTTTTAGAAAATATTTTTTTGTTTTATTTTTATGTTAACAAATGCACTGCCTTTACTATATAAAATAGATAAATCAGCCAATATTAAGGGTCCCTAGTATGGTACAGGGTGTGAACTTTCTCACATCAAGTTGTGCTATCATTGAATATTACAGCTTTCTTCCTCTTGCTGTTTTCTGCCACTTTCTTGGTTTTTTAATCTGTCTTTTTCTCTCTCCTCTAATATTAACATACAAGCAATACCCAAAAAAGTATAACAATTTAAACCCAAAGCTCTCAAGGGGTAGGCTGCCTTGGCCATTGGTGATGGCAGATGGAGGCCGTGAGCGCTAAAAGTAGACGTGCTCTAAAGTGAAAGGTAAAATTTGGTTCAGATGTCCAAGATCTTGACATAATCAGAATAAATTAATCAATCAAAAGTATCAAAGCCATCCAGCATGGCCAGCCCCTTCCTTCTTCCTCTTTCAACTCTACAGCAGGTCTTCAGGTATCTTTAACAAGCACTCAATTCATACAGTCGTTTTCCTTTCTGTTGGCAGAAACTTTTGGCATCTGAGAATAAGAGGATCAGGTTATTTTGTAATTGTCAAAATGTATCTGATGATTCAAGTGATGAAACAGACACAGAAGGTCCTCTGAAAGTTGCCCATTATATCTTGAAGGGGACCACAAGATGTGGACCACTAATGGCCAGTGTTAGTGCTCCACCCAATCTACATCACACCATTCTGTTTTAGACCAAGGTTATGCTCATTTTAAATCCTGAATATATTTATTAAAGAAAGTCAGATAAAGTTTTTTGGGGGAAGTTTATTTGAAAAGTTCACTAAAGTCAGAAATGAAGGAAGAATAAAAGATTAGAATTATTAAGCATAAAAGGCTCTCAGGAATTCCATCCAAGTAACATTTTATTGGAATTATAATTGTATTTGGCATATTTGCAAAAATGTCATTAAAATCTGGTCATGCTGCATCCCCAATATTTGGTATAGTTAATTATTATATACATTATTTATTGAATACTGCAAATACAATCAGACACACACACAAAACAAAACAAAGCAAAACAAAACAACCCATAGATTCCATTAGTTTTTTCTTTGTGGACCTACCAGAATTTATGCATAGAAGTCTGCAGTGAAATTTACGGTTCATTATGGTTCCTCTTGTTAAATCCTGTCTTATTTCTACCTATGCCAGCTGCACATGTCTATAAGCTTAACAATATACCAAAGTCCGACCAAGCTTTTGAGCTAAATTTAATTTGAGCCCCAATGTGAGACCATCAGCCTACAGTCCACAGGGATTATGATAAAACATGTCTCCCCCAAAGACCCAAGTATTAGTTTGAGCCTGTCCTGCCAGTCCTATAATGCTTTGCTTGTTTTGCTAGTTATGCCAGATCCCACTTTCCCTGAAAAAACACACTTAAATTTAGCCATCATATTAAATAAGGCACCTTGGGCAGCCCTTGTCAGTGGCAGCCTCCTGCTCGGGTAGATGACCATCCTTTCCCAAACAGGATTCTGCCTTCCCCTTCTTACCACATAGATCGATCTAGTTGGTAAGGTCCCAGGATAACTTTCATCTGAGCACATACAAACTCTAGATAGGAGAAATCACTGGTTTTCACTGGTATTTCACTCTGAGTTGGGAGAGGCTTAGAGAGTCTGTATTTCAAACTTCTTCCAGAGAGGTATAAAATGCAGTGAAAAAAAACTTCTTACATAAAACTGCATCCTACAAGAATATTATCAAAGTGAGTTGCACTTTAGGAACCTTGATGATTAGTTGCTATGACACGTAGGAAACTGCCACTAATAAAGTTCTGTGTTTACCAACAGGCTCTTATTTGTTTATTTATGTGTAATATCCTGGAACCAGTGGTGCCTCTTGGTTTTAAGGAAGGCACTACTAGAATTTAACATTAACAAAAAACACAAAGATATCAAAAAATATAGTCAGTGACTGTTCACTGGTTTTGTTTTATGTAATAGCTGAGAGATAATTGGTAAATTTATAGCAGTTTTAGTAAACTTAGCAAATGATGGCTTACTAACCTACTTAAGATTCAAAATCATAGATACTTGAAATTATACTAACTCAGATCTCATCAGGAGGAGGAGAAGGAAAGCAATCACATTCAGGCCTTGAATATTGATGTAAAGATCTGTAGAACAGGAAACTTGTTCCAGTGACAGATACATAAATATAATTAGACTACTGTACCCTGGATAATGAATAAATCAATAGAAAGGTTTATAGAACCACTTACCTTTAAAATTGTCGTATTCATTTAGTTCAAAATCAAAGTATAAAGTTGGAAAAAGATCTTGGAAATTCAATAAAGTGTAATTATCATATACCATATGCTAATAATATGATACTATTAAGGAATCTATTTTTATAAAACGACCATAGTGTGTAAACTTGTCTTATCTATTCTAGCAAGAATGAGTTCGCATATTTTTAGAACTGATACCTAGTAATTCAAACTGTACAGCAACCAAATTTGGGGGAATTTTTATTCTCATAGCTCTATTAAGTTAAAACTATCATAGTGATAATACCAAAGGTACCCTTGGAACGTTAGTATGTGCTATGGAAATGAATTAGCTATCATGCATTTAGTGAGATAGGAGACAGTGATGAGAAATTATGTCAAGTGTCTCTGTATCAAATTCTTATTACTTGTCTTGCGCATTCTGTAAATTAAGCCTTCTCAGAAGGAATGCATTGTGTGCAACATAAACTGTTTAAAAGTAACTCATGTGTGTCTTTGTGTTTGTGTGTGTGTTGGAGTCTCACTCGGTTACCCAGGCTAGAGTGCAGTGGCATGCTCATGGACACCACAGCTTCAACCTGCTGGGCTCAGGCGATCCTTCCGCCTCAGCCTTCCAAGGAGCTGGAACTACAGGCATGCGCCACCACGCCTGGTTACTTATTTGTTTTATTGTAGAGACGAGGTCTTGCCAAGTTGCCCAGGCTGGTCTCAAACCTGTGGGCTCAGGCAATCCTCTCACCTCGGCCTCCTAGAGTGCTGGGATTATAGACGTGAGCCATTATAGGCATGGCCATATGTGTTTTAGCACACGCAGGATGATCCAAAGCAAAAAAAAAACCAGAAACAATTATTTCCATTCATGTCATTTTGCAGCCTGATGTCTTTATTAGACTCAAAATCTAGGGCTTACCTAAATATAAAATTGGTGCCTCTATGAAGTAATAAATGAAGTAATTTCAGATATGGTATTTAATCCTACCAAAAAGGTACTATGCAAGAGACATACCTTTTGAATATCAAGGCAATGACAAAGTCTGGGTTCACTTTTATTCTCCAGTCACATTCTTTCCCAGGAGGATATGGCTGTGGGTAGTTGGGTGATAAAATGACACCTGCTGGGCCCGTCAGATTCCCTCCACAAGCAGCTGTCATAGAACAGAAGTTACAGAAAAAAAGTTAGGAGAGAGGAGAAATGCCTGTGGACAATGTGAAATGAGACATCACAGAATTCTTTAGGAAAAAGAGCTCATTCATCAGCATTTTCCCACATCAAAGAGACTAGGCATTGAGTTATCAATTATCCACATAAAATGCTAAGACCAAGGAAGTTTGTACATTTTTTTATGTAGCTGTTAATGAATTTTATGTAATCTGCTACACCATTTTGGGGAGAATTTTCAAACTTCTGACAAGTAAAATTGTTTTCCTAAAATTTTAAATTTTACCCAATTGAATTGAACAGACTACTTAATTCCCAAACTCACTCACATACACACACACAACAAAAAAAAACTTGGAAAAAAAATCTCTGTGAACATCATCGTATGATCATATTAATTCTTTGGCTGTTTTCTATAATTTACAGAGTTATTGTTTTTTTATTCCTAAACACATGTTCCACATGGCACAAGGGCATCTATGTTTTTTCACTGTTTATCCTTAATGTCTAAGCAATATCTTAATCAGAATAAGTATTCAGGAAATATTTGTTGAAGAAGTGAATACATGTCATTTCATATTCCACAGTCCTCTGGTATAGGGAAAACTTGGATTAATTTTTCCACATTTCAAAATGGCAAAACAAACCCCAAAAGTTTAAGAAATATCTAAGGATACATAATCCATGAAGGACTGACCTGGGACATTACTCTCTGGAAATGTTATTTAATCCTGATGCTTGGTATGTTATTTGAAAGAAGCACTGTATAGGATAATAATAAATTTGGTTTGTTTTATTGTCATCAATTTTGAATTTAATGTGTTTACATTTATATTGGTAAGACAGTAACTATAAAGCTCAATGCTGTTGACAGGCAAGAAGATTGTTGTTCTTGGATCTGAAAATGTTTAGGATTGCTTTATTTATTAAATCTTCTAGCCTTTGGAAGGTGTTAAAACACTGCAGAATTTACAAGTGTATACATTTTAGATACATGTGATTATATATATATAATATATATATATTATATATATATACATGTGATTATATATATATATATATATATATATATATATATATATATATTTCTTTTTTTTTTTTTTTTTGAGTTGGAGTCTCACTCCATCACCCAGACTGGAGTGCAGTGGCGCGCTCCCGGCCACTGCAGCCTCGACCTGCTGGGCTCCGGCGATCCTTCTGCCTCAGCCTTCCAAACAACTGGAACTACAGGTGCACGCTACCAAACCTGGCCAATTTTTGATTTATTGTAGAGATGAGGTCTCGCCAAGTGGCCTGGAGGGTCTCGAACCCACAGGCTCAGGCAATCCACACACCTCGGCCTCCCAAAGCACTGGGATTACAGGTTGAGTCACTGAGGACGGCCTAAAGATGCTTTATCTCAAGTACTGTGGTTTGTAACCAAGTTGTTTAAAGTATGACCCCCAACTAGATTATAGCATCCTCCCTAAACTATACATCTTATTTCACACGATTGATCATATATGCATTTTTTAAAATAGAGAAGAAAGTGCCTAATTGGTGTGTTTTTTTTTCTCACACAAAAAAGAACTTGTTTTTGTAAATAAATGAAGGACGATGAAGACACATGCTTTATAATTTTCAGTGATGGATGTGTCCTTTCGACACTCAATTAGCATTTCTGAAAACTTAATTGTTTCACAATAGTAAATACAACTAATGCCAGTACTTTTTGTTATCATCTCATACTCTAATCAAAGGCAAACTTTGAATAATACCATAGGATGTATTTACAATGCATTCTTACAGATATACACTCAAGAGTAATACGATATAATTTTCACCAAAAAGGAGTAAAACTCAATTTTTCCCTAGTCTGCAATTTTCATTGTAATAAAGTATGTGGAAACCATTGTCTAATGGCTCTCACAGGACAGGGCCTCCCTGGGATTATGCAACGGATGCTGACAGCATTGAGTATTGGAAACTTGGCCCAATTAGGGAGGCGGTGCCAATGTAGGAAAATAAGGTACCTGAAGGTCTCGAAGATTCTACTCCATGCAGGTTTTAAAAGATGAAAAATGACAGATTCAGGGCACTGGCTACAGGGTGCTACCAGCAGGGAGAGTTCAGGGATATGATTCGAATATTGATTTAAAAGAAACAAAGGGGAAATCTTGTCTTATTCATGCAAATCCCAGGAGGCACTTTCAAATGAGGCTATTTAAAAGCTTAAAGTGGAATTAAATAGTTCTGTCTTGCCTTGTTTGTTCTCTCTTTGGGTCTGGTATTCTTCATTTTAGCTTCATTAGGATTTAATTAGAGGGCTCACAAAATATTTTGGATAGGATTAGAATTTAGTAGGGAATGCAACTCAAAGACACTAGGAAATTCTCCAGGAGGGGTGGAAATAGGATAAAATGCACATAATCATATCAACCCACAGTCCCTCCTTCAGCTGTTGCTGCCCCCACAGATACACAGCAGTTCCTCCATCTGTCAGGACTTGAAGCCGCACTCTTTAATGAGACACAGTAATATTTTTGCATCAACACATTTGTATGGGCATATCATGAAGTGAGGTAAATGGTCTCTAAACAGGAAGCCTTTAAGTCAGGGCAGGCTGTTGTCATCAAATGAATTTCTGCCAAATTAGGATACATTTTTGCTTGTTAGTGCTCCTTAGAATTTGGACTTGGGGTGGGGGGTGATTGCAGGCTTTGTAAGAAAATGGAGAGTTTTGTGGGAAACTTTACTCAGAGTTAGAAAGTAGTTTGTGCCCTTAATCTAGAAAATTAGGTCTTTAAGATTCAGCTCAAAAGTCAAAAGTGGGAGTCTTTATAAATGTAAGAGTCATTTGGGAATTGAAACAAAGGTGAGGTCTCCAAGGAAAACACAGTAAACATTATCAGCAAATGACAGCGGCTGAAAACACGTTTTGTCATACGAAATAGGGGAGTGGTTAAGAGATTTTAGAGAGAAAGAGAGATTGGTTAGTAATAGGTAAACATACACTAATAATGAAAAGGAAAAAATATTAGCTGGTCAATTAGAAAAGAACAAATTCAAATGACCAATAAACATATGAAAAAAGAAAAAAAGAAGGTCAACTTCATTATTAATTTAAAATGCCAAATAAAACCACAGGGGAAAAAATCACAAACTGCTTATATTAAAATATGAGATTAACAACTATCGTATGTTGTGTTTCTTCTGAGTGGGGGAAAATCAATGTACATATAAACAAACATAAATGGTGGCAATGGAAATTGGTACAACTGTTCTGAAAAAGCTTTTTAAAATGTTTTAAAAGTCCAAGAAATACGTTATTCATCAATAGAAATATGTTATTCATCAATAATCATGATATTTTGCAACAAAGCTATTCCTTGAGCTACTTTAATAATTGGGGAAAAGGTTGAGACAATTTAATTGTATAATAATAATGGACTAGTAAAATAAATGTTGTATATTCAAACAGAAATGCTAGAGAGTGGCATGGGTGGTCAAGTTATGAGCAAAGTTGTCTTCTGAAAAGATACTATGTTGTCATTAGATACTAGTAGAAAATACATGATGGTACAAAAGATGCTCATCATTTACTGATAAGTAAAAAGTGCAATTTACAAAATAATCATGTAGGACATGGTCATCTGAATCTATTTTAAAAATAGATTACATATGCATAGGATAATTATAAAGTTTATTTGTGAATGTTTATATTAATTGTAATTGCCTCCAGTCAAAAAGATGACAGATTTTTTTCTCCTTTTTTTTTTTTTTTTTGCTTTACTATAGCTTATAAAACATCTTCCATAAACCCGTATTATCTTTTAATAGCAAAATATTTTAAAAACTGAAAAGCTTATCAAATCTTAGTAATAGAATTTACACAAGTACTAATACATAATCAGTTGATGCCCTAATGGGCAAGTTTCTTACAGAGGACATAAACTTCATGCGGGAGGGGAATTAAATGTAACAAAAAGATAATATTCATTTATTTTTAAATTCACATTTCCATTTTTTTCTATGCTCCAAAATTCTTATGTGTGTAGGCGAGTCAGGTTGCCAAATTCAGCTTGTCTCTGGAGCTGATGCGCAATATAGAAGAAATGTTATTTATTTTCTTTGGATTAGATTACCTAGTTGCTGGTCAAATAGGATAACTAAGAGATGTACTAATGAAAGATAGATTAGTTTATAGGTTAGCTGGGAAGGTGGTTACATTTTACAATGACATGTTTAAATTAAGACAAAGTGAAAAATTACCTTGAAGATTAACTCATGTTTGTATTGCTTTTTAATGTGCTACTCCATGAGCTTAAAAACAGGCAAAATGGAAGGGGAAAAAAAGCCTTTTCTAATTTAAAAATAGGCCAATGGTTTAGGACGATTGAGGAACTTACAGGTAATCATTTCACTTTTAAAAAGAAGCATGCAGGAATCTCGCAAGTCTCCTGATGACTCAGCTTAAAATAAAATGCATGGACCACGCTGACAAACGTTATGAAACGTAGATGTGGTACAAAACATTAAATAAACATGGATGGCTGCCTGACACAGCTGAGAATGCTAATAAGTAGAACTATCAGATCTCAGCGCTCTTCCAAATGCTATGATAAGTACTTTGTAACAAGTAAAGAGCTATGTATCATTGTTCTCTAAGACCACTGAATTCCTCTACTGCTGTGTATATAACAATAAAAATCCTTTTAAAGCAAAAAAATCCCCTCAAGGCCACCTTATGCAAAGTGGCCCAACCATTTCATTATCACTTTCTCTCTTCACAGAATAATTAAAGTTTACATTTTTTTCAGCAGATTATAAAGAGGTACTAATTAAACTGATAGTTCACTAAAATAATAAAGTTTCGTAGAGTTTCTTTTTAAAATTAAGACGATATACTCTACGTATTTTATGGTAAAATGTGTAATTGAATGAAGAGACAATCTACATGCAATTACTATTCTTATATAAAATATATATTACCCTAAAACCATATTTGTGATAAGTTGCCTTAGATGGCTATTCAAACCAAAGTCTGCAAAACCATGTTATCCTTTTAATAAGGTCAAACTATAAAATTTTAATGAATTTCAGAAACAAGTTTCTACTTTTATCTTCATTTTCACGTAAGCAGTATAATTTCTAGTTTTTAGGATTCTATTTTAAATGTACTAATATTAGAGAGAAAATATCTAAAAGGAGAAAGTACTTTTTAGTGAGTAGGTTTTGCTTAAAGGCATGTTTCTATATTAAAAATGAGAACAGCAATGCTAGGGTTATGAATTTTGAGCCACCCAGAATTTTAAATGACAGTAATTTGATTGATCCATATTTATACAAGATTTATTAAGGATAAGAAACGTAAGGAAAATGTCAATTATTGTACATTAAGTAGATGACTTTCTTTATTTCACCTAATAAAATAAAGTTTAAAGGCTTACAATAAAATTTTAGTTGAGTCTCAGAGAGTCAGAGGACATTTAAGAAACTCTTGAGAAAACTTCTGAGGAAATAATACATTTATAGATCACTCTAATGATAACTTGCACTCTCTTCTAAATACAAAATTTCTATTTTCTGTTGCATGATACCTATGCATGTTGGGGGGTCTGGCTGCCAAAAGAACCGGTTATTTAGCTGCACACAGGTGATTTTGGCTTGCCCTTGGAGCTGATATCCAGGGTCACACTGGAAGTTGACTGTGTCTCCAGCCTCTCGACTGTCTCCATAGCGGGTGCCATTTTGAGGCATGCCTGGATCATTGCAGGTGGATGCAATTGATGCTGAAAGAGAAAGACAATGTCAGGTCCCATGACTGAAAACATGGTTTCTACACTCATGTAGGTATAGCTGCACTTGTGGATTGAGGCACTTCCTTGGCATAATAAGTTGTTTGTCTACACATGAACATATGAAAGTAATTTCTTTTGTCAGGGATACATTCAGTAACATGCACCTTGATTATGCTTGCATTGAATAAATTCTTGCAAAATCTTACTAAAATTCAACCAATTTTGGAATATATCAGAAATTTTATCATGTTATACTTAGTATACACACAAACACACAGACATTGCCTTCTGATTTTTCTCTATAACAATATTTCAATAATACTACATACTGCAAGTTGAATAATTTAATGAAATTACACCAATCTCAAGGAAGCTTGAGTAAAACAGAATAGGAAGAATTATTTTAAGATCTGTGCTTTCAAGGTACATAATCCTTGATGTTTTAATAAGATCTGGTCAGAGGAGACAACTAGAATCCTACAAATCTAACAAGAATCCTATAGATTTGATAGGTGCTATTGCGCTGGCAAAAGTATTAATAATTCCCTTTCACCCTCAAAAGAGTCCTAATTTGAACACAAAATTATATGTTTACTCCAATATTAGCAAAAGTTCTGAAAATAATGTTCCACCTTATTTTGTGAATATATATTTATATGTGTGCGTGTGTATAGATATACATACACACATATACATATACATATTTATATATGTAAATACACACACATATATACATATACATATTTGTATATATAAATACACATACACTTAAAAAGAATTTCCAGTCAGTTGAATTGGAAGCTTGAGTAAAACAGAATAGGAAGAATTCTTTTAAGATCTATGCTTTCAAGGTACATAAAACCCTTGAAAGCCAGCATCTACAAAGCAAACTGGTAAGAACTTTCAGAGGATGTTGGAGTCTTGTAATGTCAGGCTCTGGCAATCATATATAAAGTGCATTATGATCAATGCACCTAAAATCACATTCCATAGGCAGCTACCAGTCCTGTCTGTGCCCAATCCGTGAAGGCTTCCTCAAGCCCAGATCTTTACCAGAGTTCTAAAACCCAACATTACACTGAAATGTAATGACCTAGGGAAATAGTGGTTATTTTCTCTAATTTCTGTAACTGCTATGTATTATGTGTTATACTGACAATTAGGAAGACACACTTGAAGATCCAAAGCTTAGAAATATTTTTCCCATTTTTACTTGCAACTAGAATAATGAGCTGTCTCTTCCCCTCCACTGTTTAAGAGACAATGATTGAAAAAGTTTCCCTTTTCTCTGTGAAGTGCTACAAGGCATACAATGTCATGTTTTATGAAAGAGAGAAGTCTGGGGATGGTAGCGCACACCTACAATCCCAGCACTTGGCGAGACCAAGGTGAGAGGGTTGCCTGAGCCCACAGGTTCGAGGCCAGCCTGGGCAACTTGGCCAGGTCTCATCTCTACAAATAAACCAAAAGAAGGAAAGAAAGAAAGAAAGAAAGAAAGAAAGAAAGAAAGAAAGAAAGAAAGAAAGAAAGAAAGAAAGAAAGAAAGAAATTAGTCAGGCATGGTGGCATGCACATGTAGTTCCAGCTACTTGGAAGGCTGAGGGGGAAGGATCAAAGTCAAAGTCTCAGTCTGTTGCTCAAACTGGAGTTCAACTCAAAAAAAAAAGGAGAGGAAAAGAAAGGGACTAGCATATCTTCCATATACATTCCATCATCCTGTCCATCTTAATATTAACAGATTTTAAACAATGAGTAGGCTTTTGTTTTGTAAATTATGTATATTATTTTTTATATGTATATATCACACATGTATACACACAAACATACACATTGTCATATATAGCTATATAAATAAAATCTACTTAAATAAAAAGTTAAGGAATATGCAAAAAGAACAAGACCTGCTCTGTGTTATTGACAGATTTTTAACCTACTGGGGGAAGCAATTAACATACTTCAGGACAGAATTAAATGGTAAAACATGCAGATTAGAGAATCAAAGCCCTATCAAATAGTGTCACATGGTACAGACATCAAGGATCCTATGGTAGGTCAAAACTGGTTCAAATTCCATTAGTACTTAATTAATACTTAATGCTTACTTAAGTTTAGTGATCTTCAACTAACTAATCAGTAAAACTGAGACTAATTTCTAAGTTAGTAAGTCTGTTGTGAGGATGAAGTATGAAAACTTGCTAACTTGTCTTTCTCTAAGCTAATTTGAAAGCAGAAGCTGTTTTCATTATTCACCATTTTTCTCTAATTGGCTATTGCTATATAATGAATAAATATACATGTATCACAACACAATAAGAAGGATAAAATAAACTAAAATAAACATCTGTTTTGCCAACTCTGATTATGAGATAGAATATTAACCAATGCATCAATATTATCAATACATATCAATGTATACCCTTCCCCATCTCCCTACTGTCCTCCACTCCAGATGAAGTCACCATTACAAATTTTGTTTATTGTTCCCTTGCTTTTCTTGATAGTCATCATAAATGTATGCATTCCAACTGTAGCCACCTACATAGGCTTCTTTTTTAATGTTTTTGAATTTATATAAATGGAATCATGCATCACAAGTACTTCTGTGATTTTTCTCTCTTTTTCTTTCTCTCCCTGACTCTCTTTTCTCTTTTTTTTTTTTTTTTTTTTGAGTTGGAGTCTCACTCCGTCGCCCAGACTGGAGTGCAGTGGCATGCTCCCGGCCACCGCAGGCTCGACCTGCTGGGCTCCGGCAGTCCTTCCACCCCAGCCTTCCAAGTAGCTGGAACTACAGGCGCACGCTACCACGCCCGGCTAATTTTTTATTGTAGAGATACGATCTCACCAAGTTGCCTGGGTGGGTCTTGAACTCGCGGGCTCAGGCAATCCACTCACCTCGGCCTCCCAAAGCACAGGATTACAGGCTGAGCCATGGAGCCTGGCCATCTTTCCTCATTATTATGTTTCTGAGAGTCATCCATGTTTAAGCATGACGCTGTAGGATGTTTGTTTTCATTGCCGTGTAGTTTTCTATTGCAAGAATGCACCACAATTTATCCATTCTCTTCTTGATAGGTCTTTGGGCCATTTTTCTTTTTGCTCTAACACAGAATGTTGTTGAGAAGAATGCTTGTATGTGTTGCTGGTACACATTCACGATTTCAATGGATTTGTGCTCTTGTATTTTAAGATCATCACTTCCAAACAGCATGTAGGTAAACTATTCTCTTTTTCAAAATTTTCATGAGTTCTTTTCATTCTTTTTTGTTTATTTTTATTTTAAAGATTTAGGGTTCATCGGGCTCGGTGGCTCAGTCTGTAATCCTGCGCCTTTGGGAGGCTGAGGTGAGTGGATTGCCTGAGCCCG